CTCAGGGAGCGACAAAAAGTTCTTCGCACAGGCTGGTCATGTCTACCAAAAACTATTCTTGTTCTTTGAACTTCAATGGCAACTGATGTTCAATGATTGTTTCTTCAACTTGATTCAGCTCAACCCTTTGAAAAATATACAGGGGTTACATATAGGTTGGCTGGTGGTCAATTGGGGGTTAGATCTAGGTTGGCTGGCGGCCCATTGAGCCGCCCAGATGTGTTGGCTGGCGGCCCCAGTGGAAAATACCCTATACCCTAGACCTTATGCAAAGGGTCCTGTACCAAAAGTACTTGTCCTTGAAAAGCAATGCATCAAACATAAACTGTGATTCATTTGCCATTGAGCCATTCAAAACAGAACTACCATAGCTCCACCTGATATATCTAAATATTCGGGTTGCTGACCAACAACTTTCAATCACATAAAATCTGACTAGCCGATTGTTTTCACATATCACGAAATCACAAATGTATAAAAATGTACCAAAATATATAAATCAATGCGGACCAAAATTTATACATGTATAAATCAACAAATTATCAATTTATACATGTATAAATCACATCATTTTCAATTTATACATGTATAAATTGATAACGGAATCGATTTATACATGTATAAACATGTTTTTAGAATGTATAAAAATGTATAAATTCAATTTCTGAATTTTAAGCATTTTGCTTGTCATGCGATAAGATTTTATCAAATAGGATTCATTTCTCAGAGTTGCCAACCCCACCACCTCATGAGTTTAAACATTTCCTGATTCCCTGCTTTTTTAAAAATCCAGGAGTCAGGATTTAAGTTTTGCAACAATGTTTTTTGTTTGCTGGCGTTTGCTGGCTCCAAGTGTGTGCTGCTCACGCGTCCTCAGCTGCCGGTACTGCTGAACATGGAGCCTCTGCAAAAAAATAAGTATAAATATTCTTGGCTTAGTGTGTGAGACCCGACCTGCTGCTCAATGAGCAGCAGGTCTATTTTTGAAACAAGAGCGACACCCATCATTAGCCATGAACAAGATGGCGCGCGGTATATATATATATATACATATTTTTGCATGAGACACAACCTGCGGCTCAATGAGCCGCATGTTTTTATTTATACAGGAGCAACATCCATCATGAATCAGCCATGACCATGACAAGACGGCGTGCGGCTCAGTGAGCTGCGTGATGAACATGCGATCGGAGCATGAACTCGATTTCAAGTTTAAGAAACAAAGTGCAAAAAGATAAGACACGATTTAATCAGGTTTTGTAAAAATGAAAAACTTGAACTTTGATATCTCAAAAAGGTTAAGTTCCCTAAGTTAGTTATAACTTATTTTTGAATAATTTTTGATAATCTAGATATAGAACTTAGAAATTTCTATCTTTTGCTAACTAACTTGCAAGTGCCACATCTTAACATAAAAACTTGTGCTAGTTACAGAACTTGTAACCCCTTCGTAACTAAGTTACCAACCACTTACAAGATACTTACAAGTTCCCTAGCCAAAACGGAACCAAGTAGTGGCCTGCTGAAACCACTCAGGGCTCGGGCGTTGGGTTTCGGTCGTGGGTTGCGATGCGAGCAGGATCTCAAAATGCATTCGCGATGTCGACAAGTAGTCGACAAAGAGAATGCCAACACTGTGATTCTTCTCGATATGCATCGAATGATAGAGCTAGCGTTAGGCAATGCGAGGCTTGCGTGATAGAATGGTGCGTAACACCTCCAATCTGTAGTTGCAGCCGCTGCCGCTCAAAAATGGGGCCGAGCTTTTGCCTGCAGTAATTTGTGCATAGAGTTGGGTCGCCCCTTCTTGTGCGCTGGCGTCAGACGTCCGCCCTTGTGGATCAAGGCCTCTCTGCCATACAGCATCTCCTTCAAGAAAAGGATACAAAAGGCGAGACATGAGTCCTGGCAGGTTTTTGCCTGGGACCCCATGCATCTTGAAAGAAGGCCTTGTTTCGCTTGCATCGGCGCAGTTGGAGTTCGATCTCTAGTCGGGATGGCAAGTGGCTCCAGTCAATATCTGGCTCTATAGGACCCTATCTTGATTATCGCATTGCTCCATGAGCCTATGAAGGGATGTTGGCAGCTATTCTTCCTTTTGCCTTTTTGATCTTCTGCATCAACTTCTTCTGAGCATTCTGCAGTTGCTTCTGCTCGGACTGTAGTCCACTCATCGGTCCAATCTCGAGGACCTGACCAATTTCCGGTGTAAACTTGATGGTATTTGGCAACCTGCTCTTGGACTTCCTTCACATCTGGCCGTGAGGCTGCTGGCAATGGCGCCAAGGACGAGTAGGACGGGAACTCGACACCTTTGTCTCCTTCTTTGGGATTGGGATTGGTCTTTTTGACATTCTCCTTCTGCTTGTCCTTCTCCCATTGGCCATTGCCCTTGCCTTTCGGCCCCCATGCACCACTCCAGTAGCCTTGGCCTTTGTGGCCCTTCCCTGGTCCCCATCCCCCCATAGGAGTGTAGGTGTGGTGCTGTTCCAAGATCGTCTTGGCCGCCTGCAAGCGGCGTGCTCTTCCCCAAGGCTCCGCTTAGTCTATCAATGGACTAAAATAGACTTGTTGGTTATAATAGTATATATATAAGTTTTTAAGGCTATCATCAAAAAGATGATAAGGTATAGATATCTGATTTTTTTGAGCGCGCATGTTTCTCCAACTTTTCTATCGTTTCTGACGGTCTGACAGCGCAGTTTCCTGTACTCGAGAACTTTGCTGAATCATTCGTTCGTTCAAGTTGTCAAACCACTTTTTGATAGTTTTCCTCCGCAGTTTCAGATTTTGGGTGCAATTTCCTCCGCTTTCGGTGTGCGATGGCTACCGTGTTGGTGCACGCTCGGGAAATCAAGCAGCTCTCCAATGACAGTTTCCCAGATAGCGAGGAGCTGGCGGAGCAGGTTGAGAACTGGAGGAACATCATTTTGTACTACTTGGAGGCAGAGCAGCAGCATGCTGCAAAGATCTATTTGGAGGATATGGCCAAGACGTTGGTGTATGTGCGGATGATGGTCCGAGGCGATGATGTCTCTCAGAAGCTCCACGGAGTGCAATTTTACCGAGCTCCACTGCCAGCAGGCTTCACGTTCATGAATCTTGCCCCTCCAGTGCACCCGGATGAGGTGCTGATGAAGGCGGAAATTAAACAGTGTGTGAATTTCATGCTGCGCTTCAAGCGGCTTCGCGCACATTGGTCTGCTTTCTTTTCATCGATGTGCCACGTCCTGCGCTAATCCATGGACGCGTGGAATGGGACCCATGGACATATAGCGTATAAGTGGTGAAACAATACGACCTTGCTGCTTTAATGTTGCCATTTCTCAGTGTTTCCATTTCCTTTCTGAGAGTGAGGGTTTCCATTTCCTCTCTGAGAGTTTTCACGTTTTTTTCGATGTCCTTTCCGAGAGTTTGTGAGGGTTTCCATCAGTTTCCTTTCTGAGAGTTTGCATTTCCTTTTTCGATTCCCTTTCCGATCTTTTGTGAGGGTTTCCATTTCCTTTCTGATAGTTTTCGATATCGATTTCCTTTCTGAGAGTTTGTGAGGGTTTCCATTTCCTTTCTGAGAGTTTTCACTGTGTTTTTCGATGTCCTTCCTGAAAGTTTGTGAGGGTTTCCATTTCCTTTCTGAGAGTTTTCCTTTTTTGTTTTCGATTTCCTGTGTCGGTTTTCGTCTTTCTGTCTCAGAGTTGAAGGTTTTCTTTTCTTTTCTAATTGTTTATGAAGGTGTCCATTTCGATTCTGAGTTCATGAAGGTGCCATTTCCTTGATGTTGTTTTCGAGTTTTTTTCATTCATAGAGGTGAGTTTCCACGTCCATTTCTTGTTCTTGGAAGAGTCCGTTCATATTTTTTCACGCTATAGCCATTTTGGCTATAGCAATTTTCCAAGCTTAGACTCTTTCGCGGCATGGCGGACGCGCGCGAGACCGAAGCTGCAGCTTTGCAAGCTGCTGCGGAAGCGCATGACCAAGCCTTCGGACATGGGGGACCAGGGCCGGGAGACACCCAGCAGTCGGAGAACGAGGAACAGAAGGAAGACTTGCCTGTGCTGAAGAAACCCGCAAGCAAGAATGCTCCCAAAGGGAAGTGAAGCCAAAGGGCAAAGCCAAGAGTAAGGGCAAGCCTAAGACTTCGCCTAAGCCGAAAAGCAAGCAAAAGGATGCAAGCAAGCCCACGAAGGAACAGGACAAGGATGCAGGCGAAGACTCGACCAAGCCCAAGAAAGGTGAGAACAAGCGCAAGCACGAGGATGCAGGCGAAGACCCCAAGGGCAAGAAAGCCAAGGGTGCGAATGGTGAAGTGCCGGAAAAGAAATGGTGAAGTGTGCGAATGGCGAATGGTGAAGGCGAGGGTGCCAAGGCCAAGAAAGCCAAGGGCGCTAAGAAAAACTTTTCCTCGCCTAAAGGCAAAGGCCCACGAGACAAAGATCACCATATATGCGCTAGAGTCCGTGTGGAAAGCCAGAATGAATTGCAACGGCCATGTTCACCAATGGGTGAAACTTGGTTTGGAGAATAGTAGAAGAATGGAAGATCTTTTGGCAAGTACATCCTTGGAGGCTTCCAGCTGATAAAGCTGAAGAACTATTGAACTGCACGAGGAATTACTCCATGTGCAATTTGGCTCTTGAAAAATATTTTAGAGAGCAAAAGGGCCAATGTCTGTTCAAATACGGCACGTTCAAACGTGGTTGCTTCACTTGGTCAAGATGGCCAAGTTCGTCCACCCAGCCCATACCCACTGCTACAGTGGAGAGTCGTTCATGCATGTGATGAAAGTGTTGATGCAGACCTGTCTAAAAGGGAGGTCGTCCATCAGCTCTTTGCGGCATTTCCTGCAGCGCTACACCAGAGCGCTGTCTTTTGAAGTTTCAAGTAAAACTTGGAAACTGAAATGACTGGCTATGGTGCCTTCGATGAAAATGTCATGCCTGCAGGTCTCTGCCTGAGAGTTTCTTGTCTATATTCTCTGAGAGTTTCTTTTCTATATTCTATGATCATTTCTTGTCCTTATCAACTTTCCGGCTCGGAAGGCTCCAACAACGCTGGCAGTTTATGTTGGTCGTGCAGCCATGGAGACCAGCGCGGAGAGGCTCAAAGCCTTGCCACACCTCACAGTTGCTCTTTTGCAAGAAGCCTTGCATCGCGGCTTTGCGCAAATAGGGCATCGAAACTTGCCAGTATTGTCGCAGAAGATGGAGGCAATGACATGGAAGACAGCGCCCAGTAAGCACATAGAAGCTTTCAACCTTGTCGAGGGTGTGCTTTTTGCTTTGCTCAGCATCTGCTCCAACGGGTTGATACCCGATGCAATGCTAGTTGCAGCTTCTGGGCTTTATAATTCGATCTTTCTCATTTTCGGCCTTTCAATTTTTAAGTTCCTGCTTCGAGTTTCGTCTTTCCTGTTTCGTTTTCTGAGGCTATGAAGGCTGAGCATTCCTTGGACCCTTTCACTTTTGCTGCTGGTACTGACTTTGAGATGGCTTCGGCTTTCTTTTTGCAGAAAACCCGGCAGTTGGCTGCCAAAATCAGCTTTCTGCAGACTGCTTATAGGCACCTTTTGCAAGTATGTGGAACGGAGGTACTCCGCTGCTTTGGCGCTCTTTTTTGAAGCCATGGCAAAGCTAGCTGCCAGACTGCATCAAACAACTGGATGGTTGGAACTTGACGGCTAATTTGAATGATTTGTTCCAGGCGGCCAAAAGCATCGGTCTCAGATAGCACCATGTCAGTTTCTGCAGGCACAGACACCTCTGCCCCTGTAGCTTCTTCCGCCGTCGCCTTCTTGGTCTCCCCTTTCTTGGCCTTCGGCTTCTGCGTCCTGCGCGGTACAAACGACACGCCATACAAGCAACCTATCGCACTGAATTGCCAACATTTTGCTGCAACAAAGACTGGGGCCCTGACACACGTGCCTTGCTTGGCAAATGCTGCTGCAAGACTTTATAGGATGCCCGACGCATGTGAGCATAGTCATCACATGGCCGTGCGTGAGGAAACACAGCACGGCGGGAAGCTTCGATGCCCTTCGCATAATCTTTGTGGACCTGCCAAACCTGGGCCCTCAGATCGAGGCCACACTCTTTCTCGGCCACATTGCATGCCTCAGTGAAAATTTGGGTCATGTTGCGCTCGGATTCTGAACTCACCAGGGCTTGCAAGAACGGTTCTTGCGTGGCGGTGCGCACTGCAACGGACTTGGTGTGGCTTGCCCCTGCCCAGGTTTTGGTTGGCGAGGCACTGCTTACCAAGAATGCCAGAGTCACAATGCCATATTCGTTGACAACGACGCGCTGCTTCGCATCGACAACCAGCTTCAAGACCTTCTCTTTCAAGGCCTGCGCGCGGCGTAGCATGCCTGGGCACGTCCACATCACGCACACCCTCTCTTCATCAAAGGTTGACGACGGCAAGACGATAAGCCGCCACACTTTCCAGCTTTGCCAAGCATCCATGTGTGGGCTCATGAACGGCCCTGCTGCATTCTCCAACTGTCCCACTGTCAGCTTGCCTTTGTTGCATTGCGGCCGGCCCGCGCCATTGAATCTGACGACGAAGCTGTGCAATTGCGCAGTGCTGCAGCGCAAGTTCAACCCATGGGCTTGCAGTGCAGCGCGGACATCTTTGGAGGTCACCCGGGGCCGCTTTGTTTCCAAAGCTTCTAAAGCTAGAGCCTCGGCACATGTCCACAAGCTACCGCCTTGCGGCGCTTGTAGCTCTCCATGGATGCCTTTGTGCTGCACGCATAGCATGGGCCCTTTGTCGCTGAAAGTCAGCGTCCCTTTCACCTTTTTTGTGCAGCCTCTGCATACGCTCGGCCGGCAGATACCGAGCAAGGTTTTGCCAGCTTTCAACTGCTTCTCATGGAAATTGTACACACCACAATCTTTTGCTTGCCCGAGCACACGTTCGATGGTTTTCCGCAAGCTTGCGCAAGTGCCAACATCGCCTGGGGCGCTCCCGTGGAACAAGGTCGCAACGCCAGAGTGGTTGGACAGGCTCTGGATCCACCAATTCCTGCTCAGGCTTATTCTCCTCGCTGTCTGACCCGTGGGCTTCTGGCCTGACGGTGGCGACAGCGACCCCTATATCCCAATGCAAAGAAAAGCCCGCCCCCGCCTTCGCACGGTTGGCGCTCGTGTCATCGGACTCTTCGCGCCATGTGACTGCCTGCCAGACGTGAGACCTGCTGCTTGCTAGACTGCAGCGCCCGCTTTTGGGGGGGCCCGTAAGCCAACATTATATACTTCCTAGTCTCTGTATTCGAAACTTCGGGTCCTCTCAATATAGGTCACTATATCTTGGCACAAGGTTGTACGTACGGCCTGCACCTCTGGCGTTCTGTAGTGTTACCCCAGCCCGCACGCCTTGGACGCAACTTCTTTTGCGCTGCATCTGGTTTGCACGGGCGCCCAAAAGACCAGCCAGGAACCCCCATCTCCTTCAAGGCCTCTTTCGCTTCTTTCGACAAAGCTGCACAACAACCCTTCACGAAAGCAGCCTGCACTTCGCCGCGGTGGCGTTGTTCCCGGACTTCGCCTAGCCCGCCTTCAACCAAGAGCCCCATGACTTCCTGATACGCAGCATCCTTCCACATGGGGTCTGGCAATTCCCGAAAGTGTGCGCCACAGCGGCGCGTCCATTCAGGATACCATCCCGACCCAACCAGAGTTCTGAGTAGCTCTGCCATCGCTGCCACGGCCTGCTGCGCAATCACCCGATGTGATCTATATAGCTATAGTTAGCCTAGTGAAACCGAATTCTTTGGCGTATGGATGCTCTTATTACATGTTACTTGCGACGGGCGTATAACTTTCCTGATGCTATCTTGTTTAATTTGGACAACCCCTCACGCCTCTGCCACTGGCCGTTTCGGCGGAACGCGAGCCAGTCGCGCTTGCCGGCGCATATCCACTTCCAAGACAGCAAGCCCGTACAAGAACCGCTCCTGGAAGCACAAGGTGGCCATCTTCAACGCGTCTGTACTCAGTTGCCCGCTCCACACTGGTAAGCTCGCACTTCTCCTTAGTTGCTCGCAGCAGCTCCAGAGACCGACAAAGTCGCTGCAATGACACATCTCATCTGACTACCTCCCGTGCTTGCAAAACAAAAACGGCTGCAACCAAGGCACGAGCACGCATGCGGCCACATCAGCGTGCCAAAGAGGGCGACGGTGCTGACCCAGTAAGGGGCCTTGTGCAAGCCAGCGGCAAGTGTCTCACCAAAGAAAGTCTTCTTTGTTACATCATTGCAAGTCAGCCTGTACGCATGGAATTGCTCTTTTAAACTAGGGCTCAGCTTCCATTCTCTTCCGGGCGCATCTATTGCCATCGGCGCCTTGCAACCCAATGATTTCAGCACTGCTGCAAAGATGCGACGCAATATGGGCATGACAACCTTTCTCTCAAAGCCTTGGAGGCGAGGCGGGCCTGGATCACGAAGAGCGCCAAAGGAGAACATGCAACGCTGGGGCAAGCCGATCTTGTTGCGTGCCTCACTCGGCACCCACCAGTTCTGCCACACTGACAGCTGTTGCAACAAGGCTATAGTCACATTGGTTTTCTGCGACGGTGTGCCCTTCGGCGGAACCACCCTCTCTTCCGCCGACTCCTTCTTTGCTTTCCGGTCCAAGGCAGTTTCCCAAGGCACCTCTCCGCCCGTGGCGCTGTCCAGGAACCTTGCGAAGTTGATGTGGGTTGTTTGGTTCCAGGTGCCATTTTGCGCAAAAGCAGGACAAAGCAGTGGGCCCCCTTCTCCTGCTACCAGGGTGGTGTAACCATCAGTCGCCTTTAGCTTGTCTACTGCCGCACAATGGGTGCTTGGCCCGAGCAAATGGAATTTGTCCCAGCCCCATCCAGGCGCCAAGTGTGAATTCTCTTCCAAGACACTGCGGAGGCATTCAACCATCGGGTCCACTGCTGGGCTTTTTCCGCTGCCGGGCCGCGCGATCCCCATTGCCCAGTATCGACTGCGGCAAGGGTAACCCGCGACGTCGACTGCAATGTCTTTGTGAAGTAAGCCCATCACAAGCGCACAAAAAGCATCATAGTAAAAGGCCGTGGGCATGCCCGCGCTGCGGCTCCACGCCTCGGTGAGCACCAGTACCGGGTAAAAGCATGTCCGCCAAAGCGGATATTGCAACTCCACGGCTTCCCGCCCGCCGAACTCATCGCTTTCAAACCCAGCAATGAGCCAAGGCAATTGTTCCTTCACCGCTGCTTGCTGCATTCCCATAATCTCTGCCTGCAAAGGGCGCACGGCACACAATATCGCATCGTGAGAAACAACCCCGACTCCTACTATGCGCCTGCACCAAAACTACCCGCCATGTTACATATATATATATAGCTACTGAGCTATTTACTCTTGCATGTTACTGAGGTCCCGACACTGTACGCAGGCAAGGTTGCGAGGAATGCCTCCACATCTTCACCGTTTTCGAAGCTCCTTAAGCATGCCGCCACGTCGCTTTCAAACTCCACGGTGCCATCCACGGCCTCACCAAAGGGTAAAGTCTGCATCTGCCCCTGCAGCGCCAAGGGTGGCCCCTCCTCAGCCGTGGCCTTGACGTTGTTGGCAGTGGGCATGTCCGCATCCACGCTAGCAGCTGTTGCTTGCTCCCACCGTGAGGCAACGGCATCCGCGTCAATCTGCACAGGTGGCCCAACACCAGTGCCCACAAACGGGGCACTCCTGTTCTCATATAGCGCCAGAACCACACCTACCTCCACAGTCTCTCCAGGAGTCTCTACCTGCTTCACCACAGCATCATCGCACCGTAGAAATGTCGCACCTTCTTTTCCTTTGAGCCACGCAACAAAATGCCCCCGGTCCGCATTGCTTGGCGTCCCGGCACCTGGCAGATGTTCCACTAAGGCTACAAAATCATACAACGACCCATTGATTTCCACAGGTCCTACGCACTCGATGGCGTGCCCATTGCGTTGCATCCGTCCCGACTCCACGTAGCTGTTGCGTGGAAAGGCAACCACCAGAACTGCAGGGGTACAGACTGGGGTTGCATGTTCCAGCACTTTCTTGTTGCCACCACATGCCTCGCAACGCAACCCCTCCGCCAACCATTCCTCTGCAAAAACGTTGCGCAGGAGTTGTTGCGCAGTAGCGCTTCCAAACGGATCGTTCTCTGCGAAGACAGCCACCCATGCCTCAAGTTGTCCACTCCTTGCCAGAGTGTTGTAAAGCTTGCATGTAGGCACCTCACATTTGTGCTCACGTTGCCTCTGCACATCCATTCTGAAGAAGCCAGGCGCTGCCCGTTCAACCTGCAACCACGGTAGGTCAAACATGATTTGCTGTTACAGCCTTTTCCCTACTTTGACACGTATATTCTGACATGTGCTTTGCTACTAGACTCTCAGTTACGACACGTTGTTTTACCTTTTATTTCCCAACCAGAAGGATCCAGCAGGCACCTACTCCGCGTAATCCCATCCGCCCTCATCCAGCCTCCTCGCACACTGCTACAACGAACTCTGTGGCACTTTCCTGCGCACCGCCAGCCAAACCAACTTTGGTGAGAAATGGCTTCCACAGCTTGGCCATCAAGTGGAAAAGCATTTGCAGGACACTATTCACAAAGCATGTGTTTCCAATGTTTGTCAGCCCTACAGCGCAGACCTTGCCGTCTTTCGGCTGCTTTGCCCGGCTTGTAGACTGTCTCCTTTTTTCAAAGTTGTTGGCTTCACCCGCAGTTTTGCTCTCTGGCCATCTTTGCGGTACCCCTCCGGCAAGCGGTACCGGATACGCGCCCAACCAATGGAGCCCGACAACTTGACAAACGGCACTGTTTCCGGCAACGTTTCCACATTGCTAAGCCACAAGGCATGGGTGCATGTGTATGGCAATGATTCCATCTCCACCCGATGCTCACCACGTAGCTCCATAAATTCTGCCAATCCTACTTGCTTGCATCTGGTGATTGTAGCACTGCCATATACACGGTTTCCCATCACCAGCCAAGTATGGCCTGGTCTGGCCCGCTGCCCCCGCAGCTCCACTGTTTTCTGGCCACTGAGGATACGCTCCAACCATTCCTGCCGCAACACCATTCCACGGTCTCCTTCCATTGGCCTGCGCCTCATCAGCTGACACGGTGGGGCAGCTCCTCCCACAACCTGGCCATACACGGTTGTTTGGCGTTGCCCTCCTTCCACCAGTAGACTTGCCATCACGTGCTTTCGAAGCCGCTCAGCGCAAGTAGCGCAGGTCATAAAGCCTACAAACCTGTGCAGAGACCACAGTGCAAGGAAAGCGTAGACATAGCCAACGCCGCCCGGCAACAACAATCCCACTGTGATGATCCTCCAGCTTGTCGGCATTTCCCTTTGCAACACCACTTTCCTCTGCCGATGCCGTCTGCCTTGCACTTTCACCCCGGTCTTTCTCTTTCTGCCCCCGGGCACGGGGCAAGCACCGAGCAAAACCCCTGCGATGAAGCCAACCGCACAGCACGCGCACCACGCAGCCATCGCCATGGACAGGGAAGAAGCCTACTCGTGCCAAGTCCTATCGCCACTACAGGTACAATTACAACCTGTTTTCCTACACTTTCTACTTGCGGACCTTGTGCAATACATTGTCGCGCAGTCTCTGCCTGTGCTCGACACTTCATGTGTCCAGCATCTACTCTGTCGCTACAGTTTGCATAGTCTTCTCTTCTTTGCCAACCTCTCTACGCCAATCTGTCGCAGAGCCACGGCTTCCGACCACCATCGCAGCAACTTAATGATTTCTTTTCCTACCTGCCTCGCCTACACTTCTGTACATGCAACAGCCGTCAACCTCTTGCTTGCTCATTCTTCACTTTGAGGCGCCCACCTCTGCATCTGCACCACGCCCTCGCTGCCCGAGCTTTCCGCTTTCACACCTCAAACACATTGATCATGACCGCTTGCTCATGCAACTACGTCAAACAGCGATGCACTAGTCACCCGACACTTCTGCAACAGCCTTCTGTCTCTTCTCTGGCGTCCGAGGCACCAAGCTATGTTGATGGCCCTCGGCAAGGCATCGGTGCTGGCAGTCCTGGGCACACACCCGCAATGCAAGCCATTCATATATGTGACCCGGTGTCATAAAACGTTCCATCTAGCTTCGAACAACGCTGCCACCCACAGGGGCCCAACCGGAGCCAACCTAAAAGAAGCTGGTGGGGAACCTCAAGAGCAACCTTCCAAGAAGTTCCTAGCAGACATGAAGCGGGTGGGCAGCGCGGGTGGGGGGTGCAGGGGGGAGGGCGCAGCGCCTCCCTCCGCGAAGCGTTCACAGAAGCCGGGTCACCGGAAAGCTTCCCAGACGCAAGATAAAACCCGGCGTTTACAGAAGCCGGGGCACCGGAAAGCTTCCCAGACGCAAAAGAAAACCCGCTAGATAACATGTCCACAGCCTAACCGCCGCGTCAACCCAAACTCTACCAAGACGCACGATCAGATGTCTACATGTGAACGCTTCGCGGGGGGAGGCGCTGTTGAAAAAATAGGTTATAGGTTTGAAAAAATAGGTTAGGGGGTTGAAAAAATTGGTTCGGGGGTTGAAAAAATTGGTTAGGGGGTTGAAAAAAAAGGCCGGGGGGTTGGAAAAATATGGTCTGGGGGGTTGGAAAAATAGGTTTTCAACGGGGGTTTGAAAAATAGGGCGGAGGGGTTGAAAAAATAGGGGGGGTTGGAAAACTAGGGTGAGGGGGTTGAAAAAATAGGGAGCCCCCATACAATTTACATTGATGGCTATCCAGCCATGAGACAAACAAAGCAAACACAGCTTTGGCTCTCCAGCCATACTATTTACATTAATGGCTACCCAGCCATGACACAAGCAAAGCAAACCAATTTTGAAGTCAATAGAACCGCAATTGAAATCACCATTGAAAATCAATAGAAATCACATCTAAAATCAATAGAACAACCTTTGAAATCACCATTGAAAATCAATAGAAATCTCATCTAAAATCAATAGAAATCACCATTGAAAATCAATAGAAATCATTCTTAAAAATCAATAGAAAATCAAGATTTGTTGCGATTAAAAATCAATAGAAATTGTGCTATCAAGTTCAGCATTTCTATTGAAAAACATTGTGAAACTAGCTGTTTCCATCGCTATTGATTTTTCCTTTCAAATCAATAGATCTATTGAAAAAAATTGGTCGTGGAGAGTAAGGGGAGTTGAAGATTTCGGACCACGGCGATTTTCAGGCGACGAAGCAGCTCTTGGCGAGCACGGCAAAGGTCTTATTTTGTGTATAGCTGTTGTATGAATGAGCAGCAGCTCAACCTTTTCACTTGCATGTGCGCGGTCAAAAATGCGAGCGCGAGGAGCTGCATGACGGTTGTGCGAGATTTCCTTTCTGAAAGTTTTCAGGTGTTTTAGATTTCCTTTCTGAGAGGTGTGAGGGTTTCCATTTCCTTCCTGAGAGTTTTCAGGTGTTTTTTCGATGTTTTCCCGTCCCTTTCCCTTTAAACAACAAGGAACGACTAGGTCTAGGTAATAACATAAACGACACCGAGGGGATTCGAACCCCTGCGGGCCCTTTCTCTGAATATTTCGTGTTATGTTGGAAATATATAATTCTTCAGGTTTTGAAGGTTTTCGTTCCTCATGACATGCTTTTCTGAGATTTCCTTGGTGCCTTGGTGCCTTTCTTTTCCTTTTGTGGTGACTTTCATTGTTGTATAGCTCTTGGCCCGGAGTTTGTATAGCCGTTTGCTTGAAACTCATGGTTTCAGACGCCTTTGCCCTTTGCAAGCATCAGCAGATGCTCAAAACGATGTCCTCGCCTTCCTTGCTCGACAAGTACCGGTTCATGAACCACGCCCCGCCGCACAATCGCAAGGCACATGTGCTGGCAAGGAAAATCCGCCAAGAGCTGATTCTAAGAGGTGTTCATCTGGCCGATGAAGACGACGAGTCGACTGTCCATGAATGAGGCATCTGCGACAGACCTGTGGCTTTGAAACGCCATGTTTGAGGATGCCTTGCAACGTCAGCGCAAAGCCAAGAATGATGCCAGGTGAGGGCCCTTTCTGAGAGAGTTTCCGCTCTTTTCTGGGAGATATAATTCGGCGCACGGGCAATATTATATAGACAAATTCGACGCAAAAAAAAGGAACCTTGATCGCGAACCATGAGTCTGAGTTTGATTTCTGTTTCACTTCTTTTCCTCAGACCATGCAGCTTCAGAACATGTCTCTACCTTCCATCGTCTATCGGTG